TGAGAGAAAACAGGGGGGGGGGGGGGGGGGAATAACGGAGAGACCATTAAAGTTACATGCCTGCATTTTGCTTAGGTACTTTCTCAACGGATCATTTTGCCTTGGCAGCCTGCCAGTACTCTAAAGAAAGCTGGTAGACTTTCTCGCACTCTCCATAATAAAAATACAAGTTAAACACATAGAAAAGAGAAGACAAGGTAGTTCTCCTAGTAAAAGTCCTTTGCAGCAACACATCTACAAACTGTGTTGAAACTAATTCTCCAGTTGACACTTTGTACTGTAAAAGGAAGCCCTTCCTTGTGAGCCTCAAGGACTCCTCTTCCCCACATCCAGAGTCAGAGCACCACGCTCTCAGGGTATGGTGTCCAGGCAAAGCCCTGAACTTGAACTGTGAGTTTCCCTCATCATCTGCCAGTATCATATAGTGCCAGTTGCCAGTGTAGCAGGTAAGAGTTTTCCTACAACTTTTCAGATAAACATAGGGCCATACATGTCAGAAAACAAGTTTTAAAAAAGGTTTAATCACTTAGTCTGGAGAATGCTTCTGCAACTTAACAGCTATTGTCATTACTGTTATGCTTTTCTTTTCACAACACCTGTTTTCCAAACCCCTCTATGTCCTGTGTGTTAACATAGGACTGTGGACACCAGGGATCGTAGGGAATGGACATTCCTATTCACCTACTCTGAAATTCAGTGACCGTCTGGTGGCAAAAGAACAACATACTGTACTTCAGGTAGGAAGACAGAAATTCTGTTACTTTTCAGTGACTGTTTAAAGGAACACTGTAACAATGGGAAAACATATTGGACAAAAATGCCTACTAACAAATTGCATGCTCAGGGAGCACAGTTTCAAAATAGGTTACCTTGCCAACAAGAAAAAGTCTTGCTCCAAGTTCACTGTACCGCCTTTGATCTTAAACACAAGGATTCAAAAGTTCCCCTTGTCTGAAACGAGCTAACTACGAAAGCTAGCACCGCGTGAAAACTTTTATACAGTGTGCCACAAAACACCAATGCAAGTTATATAGCTCAACTTTGGCATTCTTTTTTTCACACAGAGGCCCTTTTGCCTGTATTCCCAGTTTCCTAACAGGAGGTAGTGACATTCCCAAAAAATCCCGCTGTTGTCCTAGTTCATCTTTCAGCAGAAAACTGCATCAGACAATTACCCAATGGCATATTACAGGCAAGACATACAGGGCAAGACAGCAGGGAAGACAGAACACAGAATGAACGGAATTTGCCATTTCTGGTTTTGTCAGTGATTACTTACTCATTACAAGATTGGTTAACTCACCAAAGGTCCATCACATACCCTACACACACAGCCAAGCTGACAGAGACTCCATTTTGTTTTGCAACCAGAGCCTCACATTTGTCAGAGACCACCCGAAGCAGAGACATCACATGCTGAGGTACTTTCTCAGGAAGCCCTTCATGGTCCTCTTTTTTACAGACAATTGTCACAAGCAGCAGCAGAAAACTTGTAACTGGAGGACCTCTGGTGGACAGCTACAGACTGTTTTCTCAAGAGGACCGTACTACAGAAGGAAACAGTTGGCAGCATCTCTGAAGATATGCTTTTAAGAGAGTTCACAAACTCCCCAAAACATCTTCTCCAAATCAACAGAAACTGACAATGCACCCACTAAACTGCTCAGCATCACTCTTACGGGCCCAACCTTAGTGTTCACTAGGAGTGGGTAAAGTTTCAGTTCTTAAAGATGCAAATACTGTCTTTTGGAGTAAGAAAAGAGATTATCCTTTCCTTGGCCAATGATATAAACATGTGCACTCCCATTCTTGGTGTGGGGCATACCACACATCACTTCTTGACAAATATCTTTGAATTCCCAAGAACATTAAATTTGTTTGAGCAAGGAAAAAAAAAAAAAAGAGGAAGCTTAGTGATAACAAATGGCAACATTCCAAGTACTACTATTTTATAATTCTAAATTAATCAGCTGTATCTCCGTAACAAAGTGACATGCAACATCCTGCTTAATTACCTGATGCTAACACATTCCCAGGAAGGCTGTGTATGGAACAGAATCAGACGTTTGCTGTCATCTGTCAAGGCAAAATAATCTCCTGATGGGGAGAAGGCAAAAGCTAGGATGTCATCACTTCCTTTATCTGTTGGTTTCCCATCCTGCCTAATAGAAAGAAGGGGAACAACAGTTCACAATCTGAGAGTTACCGAAATCCTTAAGAGAAGGTTGTTCCCACACCACCAAGAAGGAGCATGAAGAATAAAGTACAACGCTAAAAGTTTTATTTGTGCTTAAAATGTTGAGCCAACTTGAACACTAGTGCAAAGAAAAAAGCCAAGAAAAAGGAAACTGATATAAGGTCTAAGCCTGCATCATTACCTGCTTAAAAAAAACCAAAAAACAAAACAAACAACGCTAGAGTTTGTGCTAGCAGATCTTAACACAAATTTAGGGGGAAACAGTAGAATTGGCTACAGGCAAAACAATGTCCAGTGGTTGACTTTAAACTAAGAAAAAAACTTTTTCAGGTTTTGAAATCTCATGACTTCGAGAATAGACCTGAAGGAGGAGTTATGTAACTGGTTAGGGTTTTTTTCTGGCTTAGATGGTCTAATAAAAAATGCAGCTTTCTCCCATAAATGTCTTGACCAAGGAGAGTTATACAGAATCATTGATTACACTACTGGTGTTTCTCTAAAAACGAAAACGGTGTAGAGTCTCCCCTCTACAAGAAACAAAAAAATACATACATATATACCCATCAGGGTTAGCAAAAACAACCTAGCCATCACTTGATCAGGGAGTCATCCCTAGACTTTATTACCTTCACTGCCACATAACCTCAGGAGGAAAAGCACCCTCCAGGAAAACAGCAGATTACCTAAGCAGATTTTCTCACCCTTTATTTCCTAAGGTCTTCTTCTCCGCATTGATGCAATCGTACACGAAGAGACTATCATCACTGCAAATAAAAAACAACAGACTAAAACCACAGAACTAGAACCACCATGAGTTTAACTATGACAAGTGTCAGCTCCTTTGTAACATGCTATTATTTCACAGTTATTTGCGCAACTGACCCCTATCTCGAGGAACCACCCCTGTGAAATGGGCTCCCAAAGTGCTACGGACGCGGTAGAAGTTTAAAACCTTGGACTGTACGCACGTGCCGAAAAAAATAAATTCCCACCTGTTGGCAAAGCAACGGTGATATTTTACTTTTGTCAGGCTTAACACCTTCGCCACCAGCAGCCACCCTGTTGCTCACACACCAGTGACGCCCGTCTCCTGGTACATAATCGCGCCAGAAAACCCTTAACGACTAAAAACCTTCGAAGCGCTCCGTCAGCACCAGGAGCGCACACAAAGGCCCTGCTGGAAGGCGGCAGCAGGCCGAGCCTCCTCCACGCTCCCACCACCTCCCCCCCGCCC